GTTCGCGCCGCCTGTTCCGATGAGCCTCCTGCACCCTCAGCTCAGCTCAGCCCCCAACTTCTCCCTTTCTCGTCCTCCTCCTCCCTTGCCGCCTTCTCTCCTCCCTCCACCTTCTGCTCCCCCACCGTCATTCCCTCTCTTTCCTCTCTCCTCCATCTCTTTCCCTCCCTCTCTTCCCGCCTTCCTCACCCCACGCTGCTCGATTTCACACGCAGGCTTCGCTTGCTCTCAGCAGGGAGGGAGGAGGCAGGAGTTCTGTCGAGATGTTTGGTGTCGGGGTCGTTCTTCATGCCGAGCCTGCGACAGACGAGGCAGAGTAGATGGAAATCTTCACGTCAGGAGAGAAAAAAGAGACAAGGAAATATGCAAGGAAGAAGGGCAAAAGGAGGAGGAGGATCAGGAGGGAGGAGGTGGGAGGAGGTGGGAGGAGGAGGAGGAGGATCAGGAGGAGGAGGATCAGGAGGAGGAGGATCAGGAGGAGGAGGATCAGGAGGAGGAGGATCAGGAGGAGGAGGATCAGGAGGAGGAGGAGCAGGAGGAGGAGGAGCAGGAGGAGGAGGAGCAGGAGCAGCAGGAGGAGGAGACCGATCGCGGATCATTCTGCGCGCATGATTCACATCTCGCGCTTCGCCTCGCTCGACCATGAGCTCCGCCTCAGATTTGTACTTGACGCCTGGGGAGACAAGAGAGTCAGAGGAGAGTCAGAGGAGAAACTAAAGGCTTGACAAAACAAGAGAACCAGCAAGTGAAGGAAGAAGAGAAGAGCAGTCAGCAGATAAAAGGGAGCATGAAGGAGAGAGGGAGAGGGAGAGAGAGAGGGAGGAGGGAGGAGGGAGGAGGGAGAGGGAGGAGGGAGAGGGAGGAGGGAGAGGGAGGAGGGAGGAGGGACCGGTGAAGGCGTCGGTGGGGAAGTCAGCCTCAACTGCACTAGTGAGAACGAGAGGTACAAGAGGAGGAGAAGCATCTCACTCGGGCCAAGAAGCACCGCAGGATCCACCTCCTGCAAGAGAAGGTGAGCTACGGCAGCAGCTGAGAGGGACTGACTTGAGCGGAGGAGGAGGAGGAGGAAGAGGATGCTTCTGGATCCTCCTCCTGCTCAGTAGCTGGCTTGTCCTTTTCATTCATCTCCTGCTGCATCTGCCAAGGTTGATCAGCTCAGCTGCTGCAGCACTTCCTCTCACCTTCCGCCAGATCGCCTCCTGCCGACGGGACATCTTCTTGGGCTTCTTGACTTCCTGCTTCTTACTCGGCTTCTCCTTGACCTTCCCCTCCTCTTCCTTCCCCTCCTCTTCGTCTTCCTCCTTCCCTTCCTCTTCCTTCTCCTCGTCCTCTCTCTCCTTCACTTCTTGCCCCTTTCCTGCCTTCTTGGAGGATGAGGAAGAGGAAGCTGTCGATGGCGTAGCGGCCGACTGCTTGCGGACGTACTCCAAGATCTCCTTGATGGGTCTCTTGCCCTGAACGAGACGATGATGAGGGAGGAGAGGGGGCGAGGAGCTCGGAGGGGTTACACTTAGCAGACAAGTGGAGGGGAGGGGAGGGGTGGGTGGTCACCTTGTTCAAGATCTTCAGGATTCGATTCTTGTCCTCGAGCGGATTATCTGATGAGAATGATAAGAGAGCCGAGTGACACAATACAAGAGCTCCTCCTACATCTCCCCCTCCCCCTGCTCCTGCTCCTGCTCCTGCTCGTGCTCGTGCTCGTGCTCGTGCTCGTGCTCGTGCTCCCTGCTGGTGCTAGTGCTGGTGCTGGTGCTAGCGCTGGTGCTCCTCCTCCTCCTCGTGCTGCTGGTGCTACTCCTGATTCTGGTGCTGCTGGTGCTGGTGCTGCTTCGCGTGGTGGTGGTTGTCCTCTCCCTGCCCTCCCTCCTCCCCCCCCTCCTCCTCCCCCTCCTCTTCTGCATCCCCTTTCCCATCTTCTTCCTCTCCTTTACCTTCGATCGCAAGCCGCCGAAGCGTCTTATCTTTCAGATCTCCGAGCTCGGCCGGAAGTGACTGAAGGAGAATCAGTGAGAGGAGGAGGGAGGGTGTGCTGGAAGATGAAAGAGTTCATGACGAGGAGGAGAGGAGGAGGAGGAGGAGGAGGAGGAGAAGGAGGAGGAGGAGGAGAAGGAGGAGGAGGATTGGAGACGGTGAAGCATTGCCGGAGGGGAGCGAACCTTGATTCGATTTCGTTGCAGGTCGATAACTTCAAGGAGCTGAAGATTTCCAACACCAAGTGGGAACTGACAGAAACTCAAGACTCCTACCGTCTCCCCCCCCCTTCCCCCTCCTCTTGCCGCTAACTCCCTCCTTCTCTCCTGCTCCTTCCACTTTTCGCTCTGATCGCAAGGAAGATCAGACCTGCTCGAGCTCGTTCCCGCTCAGCGAAAGAGACTTCAACCTGCTCCAGCTCGTCACAGGAATCCGTTCATGCTCCTGCTCATCCAGTCAGCGCCTCCTCCTCCTCCGCTGGCCTCTCTCCTACTTCCTCCCTCCTCTCACCGTGAGCTTGTTGTTGTCAGCGTTGAGCGTGTTCAGTTTGGAGGCTCCCGACAGGCTTGAGAGGTCGGCGATGCGGTTGTTGGCGACATTGATGACCTCGAGTGCTGCCCATCCCTCCCCCTCTCCCTCCCCCCCGTCGCTCCTCGGCAGCTCCTCCAGCTCGTTTCTCTCCGCCTGCCGCACCAGCTCAGCCGCCAGTGGAAGAGAAGGAGGGAGACCTCGAGCACTCGGAGGTTGGGGAGAGCAGCGAGAGCCGGCGGAAGCGAGGCGATCTTGTTGTCGGAGATGATGAGCGTCTCCAGCTCCTCCAGATTGCCGATGTCTTGAAGCACACGAGCCGCTCAGAGAAGATAGAGAGGAGGAGGAGGACGAAGAGGAGAGAGGGACGAGTACCATCAGGATCCGCTTGAGTTTCCTCCTGTGATGACAGTCGTTGCAGGAGGTGCATTGGAAGA